CCCCAAAACCCCAAAACCCCAAAACCCCAAAAGATATAATTGCAATGGAAATTTATGAAATAATTATTTGAAATTATAAGAAAAATATAAAAATGGAAAAAGTGAGACCACTAGGTGAAACATCGCCGCTCAAGATTTTCATTAATGATGCAAATACATTCCTAGCTTAGGCAATTATAGAGGAAATCAGAAATGACCATTAAGCTTTCGATTCAGATACCTTAAATTCTCATAAGATAGTTGCTACAATAACAGATAGAGAGAATGCTAAACCACCCTCTGGAATAACTAAAATCATTGCCAAAAATAAGAAGAAAGCAGTATATTCAAGTATCTTGACATCTGATATTGTCATCTTTGATATTAATTTTGGTAGTACTGAAGATGTAGATTCAATTGTGAAATTTCTGAAAGAGCAGTAAAATGGAATCCCAAAACCTATTACCTTGATTATTCTATCATCGGTGATGAGTTGGTCTGGAACAGATCCTAAAGAACCAAAAAACAAAGAGATTGTTGATAACTCAGAGGATGAGGACATGACTGCTGAGGAAAGAGAAAGACTAATGACTACAGATTTTATCGATGAAGATTATTTGACAAGAATGCCCTCAACTAGATTCGCAAATCTTAAATATATAGAAAATTTAGTTCTATAACTGCCTAAATTCTAGCCTTTAATCACTTCTTATATTGTATGTACTGGAATACTTTATGGAAACGGAGAAAGAACATTATATGAACACTTTAGAAAAGCATGGACTGGTACCACATTACCATTGCTTGGAGAAGGAAATAACAGACTGCCCACTATACATGTTTAAGACGCAGCTAAACTTATCAAGAAAATTATTTATGATAAGCCTAATTATCCTTATATCTTGGCAGTTGATGAAGGCAAATGTACTTAAAAATAAATTGTTGAGGCTTTATCCCAAGGAAAAGAGAAGAGAATATCGTAAGTTGATATTCTTGAAGTATATTCAGAGGAATGGAGCGACTACCTAAATATTGATATTGCAATGAGGCCATCTAAATTATTTGATTCATCATTTCAATGGACTTGCAGAGATGGGTTATGCAAACATATTGGCCTAATTTTCGATCAATTTTCTTCTTTTAGAGGATTGAATCCAATTAGAATTTCTATTTTTGGTCCTCCCAAAGCTGGCAAAACTAAGCTAGCTAAAGCACTTAAGAAATTACTTCAGATACCAAGATTAAATCTCAGAGAGGTATTTGATTTGGCTAAGAAGAGTTAAAGTTAAATAGTTAAGAAGATCTAATAAAAGGAAAATGAAATTAAAGATAAGTTTGTAGAGGAATAATTGGCTGCAAAAAAGAAACCTGCCGATATTGATAAAGACAAAATTTAGGTTAAATTCCCAGATAGGACAGTGGGAGAGGTTGTTAGATTCGTTTTGAAATCATAACTTTATAAAACAAAGGGACTTATTTATGATAACTTTCCTAAATCTGAAAAGTAAGCGAAAAGATTGTTCTACAGTATTAAAGGTGAAAACGATCATGATGATGATGAGGGATTTTTCAATCAGCTTGAACATGCAAAAGTTCATTTAAAGAAACTTCCGAATGTTATTATCCATCTTAGATGCAGTAGAGAAGCTAGTTCCCAAAGATTTAGGATTTAATAGCAAGAATCAGGGGAGAACAATAACAATATTACAGAGGCTGAATTCGAGAGAAGAATGAACGACTATGAAAATAACTATCATGGTTTGGTTGATTTCTATAGAGATATGAAAGATTCTACAGTAAAAATAGTTGAAATTGACACAATGGGGAAGAAACTAGATGACATTTATAGAATTGCGAAAGATCAAGTCTTCTAATACTATAAATTTTTGGACTATCTTTATGTAAGTGAAGATAATGAAAAAGCATTAATCGAAAAACTCCAAAAGCAAGAAGAGCTTAGAGTAAGAGAGGAGCAAATTTAGAAAAAGCTGCAATAAGAACAGGCTTTGAAACTGTAATAGCAATTGGCATTATAAAAGGGATCTGCTTCTGGGCCAGGTTAAGAAAACCGTAGAGTTAATTCAAGATTGTAAAAGATTGATGAAAAAAAGCATTTCTTGCTTGATACAAAATCACTCCCAATTAGATAATATTTACTTGATAAAATAATTCCGACTTTGACAAAGGGGATCATGGAAATGACTGATAAACTTGAATTTGAAAAAGTAACTGAAGAGGAGATATTCAATGGTACCAATTTCTTTGAAGGAGATTTTCTGGATCATTTAATTAGAGTATTCGAGATGAAGGGTGATGAATTTAGGGAAGAATACCTAGAAGCACAAAGAAAGAAGGAACTTGAGAAGGAATTAGAGAGGAAAAAGTCTGATAAGGGTAAAGGAGAAGATTCTGATGATTATGAAGAGGAATCCCCTGATGAAGTTGATGCCTCGAACGCTTGAAAATTTATTGATTAAGTTAATTAAAATTAACCTTATTTCAACATAATATTCCTAATGGGGTTTTGGGGTTTTGGGGTTTTGGGGTTTTGGGG